TGGTGCCTTTCTTTTATTTTCTTAGAATAAGTCAGGTGTCCCAAGAATCGTAACAAGAAATGGTTGCATTTCCTCAGTAGGTGCCACTAATATTGCACAATCCCCTTCCCCTCGCTCCCCACATCAAAAAAACCCCGGTTTTCGTGCCAAGATTTTTAAAAATGCCAAGGCTTATGTGCAATCTACACTTCTCTTGCTCTCTCAATCTCTGAACTCAAAGCAGATTTCAGAGTTCTCCCAAAGTATAATGGTGAAAGTCAGTGCAAAATTTGTTGGTCAAAAAGAGAGGGATAGAAGAGGTTGACCTACCATATATTTCATTTTGTCACGACACTTCCTCAAAAGTGTCATCTTCCTAAAGCAGATTCTGCCTTAACTCCTATCTTCTTTATCAGTCTCAAAGGCTGGGCCCATACCAATTTATTTATTTCATTTACAAGGCCGCCCAACTACAGTAAGATGACTAAAGACAGAGACATAAATAGCTGCCTCCTGACTCACAGCTTGAGCACACCTTGCCCAGAACTGTCTTTTCCAATTCAAAGTGGAAGTACCAAGGACTGCAAAATGTTTAACCAGTGAGTGATGCGGTAATGCACATGATACTACAAAACATAACAAACCTTCTTGGGTAAAAGAATGAGAAGCAAGCATTCTAGATAAAGTAAATTCAGCTGAACATTAAGTTGTGCATGCCTCTGAAAATGTATTAAAGTTATACGTGCCCTGCATTGACAGATGTATGGATGCAATTTTATTTCCAATTATGGATTGCTCTGACCTTGGAAGCTCCATAAACTTTTATGTACTTTTGAGGCCAATGTAATATGGGGGGGGGGGAGAACATAGATCTAGGTCTCCTGTTCTTATTTTGCCTCCAGAACTGGTTTCATCCCAGTGCAAGTTATTCTTAGTTTTCATAATCTAAATGTTACTTTCCGCTTGGAGCCATGACAGATCAGAGAATTATGATCTACTAAACACTTCTTGTACAAGCCTTATTAACTCTTTCTTTTTGATCTTTTCCAACATCATACTTACTTTGGTGGCTGAGAAAAGTGGGAGGAAGCTACAGATACTAGAAACCTCTTTCAGAAGAAGGTATCCAATGAATATGGATAAAACTGTATTCTTCATAAATTTCATTTCTTCAGTGTAAGATGGACAACTATGGTAAAAGCCCTGCCTCCTTTTCCTGCTTGTTAATTGATTATTCTGATCAGTTGGCTCGCCTGAAACAGCTGGTTTCTTGTCACTATTGGTAGCAAGAAATCCATTGTCTACATGCAGGGTTACTGAGAAAAGCCAATTGTTGAAAGGGGATTAATCTTCCCACTTCGTCAAAACTGAAGACTAATAATGTTACTACTTACATCCAAGTAACTCTGCTCAAGATTACTGAGAAGGGGATGAATGCATGATACACATTTATGTTGTAGGAATACTGTTGTCACTGCAACATTTTTTGCTTTAAAAAACCAATGAAGGAATTTGGATGTTATTTCACTGTTTTATGGTACTTTATCCACAGAAGACAATATGTTGTGGTAAAGTTATATTTACTGGTTCAACTGCAGGTATCCCCAACTCAGAGTGGAATTTAAAGAATAAGTCTTCCAATTTTAGTTTGGAGTCAAGATGGTAGAAAGAAGTATGAACTTCTATGCATTTTTATGCAAAAAAAGTCTATGCCAGTGTTTCCCAAACTTGGGAACTTTAAGAAGTGTGGACTTCAACTCTCAGAATTCCCCATCCAGCATGGCTGGCTGTGGGATTTTGGGAGTTGAAGTCCATACATCTTGAAGTTCCCAAGTTTGGGAAACACTGGTCTATGCCATTACAATCTCTTAATTCCTCTGCATTTTCAAATCAAAAATGTTATGTTATGTGGTTAGGGAAGAGAAGCGAACCTATCAGAAATACTGTGCCAAGGAGAACAGTAGAAAAAAAGGACAAAAGCTTAGAATTTTAAGAGTCTACTGTGCAGCTGGATTGGAGCATATAAACAAGAGTTCAGGAATTGGGAGTGGTACTAGTAGAAAATGGCAAGGCTAGGATTAATGCACATTGAAGAAAAAGCTGGCATGGTTTTTGTCTGGGGAAAAGTATTTTAAGAGTTTACTACTACCGGCACCACAGCTGTTTTATTTTAAGAGTCTGTTCATTAGAATCACATTCATGTTCATGAAAGAATAGCTGGTAAATATAATTGGTCAACCTCTATATTACATGCAACAACATGGGTGGCAGCATGGGTGAGAGATAGACGCAAGCATTAATGTGATAATAGGAACTCATGTGCATGCAATTGTTCTATATTAGATGTTCCTTTAAAAACTGTGACCTGGATATGTATCTCTATTCATACTGCAATATTCGTCCCTATAATTCCATGTATGACTTAAAGAAGCACTGTGATGCAGGTGGGCATTCTCCTCAACAATGCACATGCATTCTTGATTAGATACCTAGTTTTCTTTTTCTTGCAATCCAGCTAACTATGCAATGTTCATTCAATGCTCATATTCTTTCCATTGTTTAAACAAAGCCAGTTTTCAAAAGTGACAGCTGATTAATTTTTCTCCTAAAACCGTTTGAGAATTCAGGTGGAGACTATTATTATAATTCTCTCTCACACACATATACCAACCATACTAATAAAATTTTGTATAATTTACCTCCCTTTTAAATACCATCCATTACACACCTTTTTCATCTAGAATATGATTAAAGATTATTGTAGTGTAAGAAAATAATGAGCTATACCCCTATTTGGTTTCTAGAAAATGTATATGATTTTTAAAAAGTTTAACTGTCTCTTCCATTTTTCAGGAAAAATACTAATCAGATGTGAAGTGAGTGGGGTTTGTTATATAACTGACTATAGTACCATAGAAGCACTGGATAAATTGCATCCTAGGTAACAGGTAGGTATCCTGCATAAAATAAACTAGTAGGAAAAGAGAAAAGAGGATCTGGAAGAAAGTGAAAGCAGTCAAGTGTGAATTAGAGTTAATGTTAATAATGAACTTTCGAGATCTTGGAAGAGCCATTTCTTTATAGTAAAGCCAATGCTCATAGTGTCACTGGGCAGGGCAGGTAGTGGGATGCCACAAAGTTTGTGCACTTCATCATGGATTTCTAAAAATAGCAGCACCTGAATTATAATTCTGAGAAAAACAGACAAAACAGAACTACCTGCAAATTCACAAAAAGTGTAATCTCTGGATTCCTTAATGGAATTACAAGAATAAAATCAGTAAAAGAAGGAAATCAGTATAATACTTTAGGTTTATAATGCAGATTTATCTACATTTAAACTGGGACAATAACTTTTCTGAAAACATCTCCAATTAAATGCAGACTCCTGGACCAGAACTCAAGTAATCAGATCCTCTGCATCTGGCCTGGCTGTTTCAGCTCAAAATCTCACAATTATATCCTTACAATTTGAACATTACTTTATATCTCTTTAGATGCTGTACTCGTCTTTCTCTTTGCCTCCACCCACCTTCTCCGGGGTTAGAAAATGTCGTGGATTTACCAAAGCCAGTAATGAACAAGATTGCCTATTCTAACCAAGGAAAACCAGCAACATGCCTTGAAGTACAAAGCAGCTATTTTCTGAGCAAAGTAGGACATGCACATGAAGTATATTAAAAGGGGGGAAATCCACCCACATGACTTCTCAGGCAAGACTGGTACATTCACATTCACACTCACACAGATGGTGGGTGAATGTTCCATCAAGGTATGCAAAAAAGGTCTCATTGTGCTCAGTCAGCTGTACTATTCACACTTATTCCCAGCTAAGTGGGCTCACTGTGGCATTCTTAGTGTTCTATCTAGAGTACGAATATATATCAACACAGTGAAATTCATCTAGAGCTGTATCAATTCATGAAATAATTTAGAACTGTGTTTCCCCACAGTTACAAATATAAATGTACCAAGGGATTCTCTGAAACTAGATGGTGGCATGAAAATTGTCTCCCCTTGTCAACCAGGACCTGAATGTGTGTATCTCTTGAAACAAGATCTGAGTTGATTTTGAGCCCTTTCCAGATAAAGAACATACACACGTATGTACAAATGTACGTATGCAAAATAAATGTACATTCCCTTAGCTAAGACTGGTTGAATCTCAAATTTGCAACCCCTGCTGAAATACAACCAGTAGAGTTAAGTGGTTTAATTGTTTTTTTTTTTTTAAGATTTACACTGTACTTGCTTTATAAACAGACAATGTCTGAGACTCAGCTATAACTGTTGAGATTCTTTGGAAAAGGAAAACTTTTTCCAGGCCAGTTTTGGTTCAGTTTAAAGATAAATTCACGTGTTAATGCCTTCATGTGAAAGCAGATGCTAGCGAAACTGTCATTGGGTCCAACAGGTTAACTGCAGCTTTTCAGAATGCTGGGCAGACTAGAGTCCAGGCTACTGTCATCCCATCTTATTTGGAATAATTCTAAACTCTGGGAATTATTTTTAAAATGCTCCAGCCTTTGTAATCTTTTTTGGAGAAAGATGTAACATTATTCATGCCCTGAATTTGTCTTCATGGAAAGACAAATCCTTCAAGATTTCCAGTTTTAGCTTCCTTTATTAAATAGATTTCTCCCCCCTCCTCCCCACACTTTTCCCAGTTGTGGAGAATGGTCTTAATTGGTTCAAAGGATGGCTTAGAAAGTGTCTGGCAACAACTATCATGAATGCACAAAGGACTGTTTGGAACGCCTGTCTTATGGAAGAATAAAGGCCCGACTGCCATCAAGCATAACTACTTCAGTATCCCAGGATTTCCAAGGAAGAGAGAGATTCTTTCAGTATAATTGACTGCTGTCTGATAGCTGTATGATAATCCTGTCAACAGAAATACAAAAAGGCAGGAGAGGTGGTTTCCTAAAATTCCTGGTTTGCCCACTTACTTACTTTCCATCTCAAGATGGAATCCAACCAGCAGTCCTTTTTTCTGGGTCAAACATCACTCAGGAGCCATATTAATATGAAATTGGCCTTTAGTGGGGAAAAACAAAAGGTAAGGTTTCATATTGTAATTAGTTACTTTTTGGAGATTTTCAACCATTCAGTAAAGATTCTTTCCAGCTGTCTGGAGGTTTGAAATATCCACACATGCTGGTGTGAACATGTAACACTGGTTGGATTAAGGAAATGATGCTTTCTTCCTTGGCTTTGTCTCATCCATCAAAAACTGTTTTGTAAACTTCATGTTTGCCTTTGGCAAACTATCTGAAGTGGGAGAAAGGATTGAATAAGAAATTCTTATTCTGCTCTCTAATCCACAAGCATGTAGTGGAGGGGAATGATCCTTTAGTGAAAAGTATTTTAAAAGCAAATTCTAAAAACATTTCCAGTTATGGCAGCAGTAAGACAGACAAATATACCTGTTATAATTAGCTCCTGGAGAAAGAGCCCTATGTAGACTGCATGGATATATGTCCGATATTGCAAACTGCCTGAAAACTGAGTAACCTGCAGACACATTTTGTGTTAAAAGAAACCACTTCAGAGAAGAAGCTGGCATAGAAGAAGTGAAGACTATGTTAGAGGATAGTAGTAATCTCAGCTCTAAGTTCAGTGTATTCTGTACTGGCTCTGAGCTTTGAGCCAATAAAAAGGCAACAAGCATAGTATCCTACGTGATACATTAATTCAGGAGATTAGAGTGGTCCAAATGACAGGACAGATTGGTGTGTTTCACAGTTGGAGAAAGTGCATAGGTTCAGAGGCGTGAAAGCAGACATTAGTGTGCATGCATGCAGGTATACTTAAGTTGTGAGGATACCAAGAATGAAAGGAACGGAACTGTCTCCTTGCCTAAAACCTAAGTGTACCTAAGCAAGAATGGAAGGGGAGAGGCAGAACTGGAACTGAGAGGAGCAAAGGTGACAGCCCAAGAATGTTAGGATCAGTCCCTTTCCTGCTCGTGTTTCCCATTCTCTAGAAAGGAAAGACTTAGTAATGGTCAGCCCAAGTTATAGCCCTAAACTGGAGACAACAAACATATGATGGAGGAAACAGGTAGTGTTCTGGACATTACTTCCTTAGTGTATTTGCAAGTGGATTTGGTTGTTTTCCTCCCACTAAAATATTTTTTTTTATCAAAACAGTCACAAAAGAAGGGGCTGGGAAAGGAGAAATGCCAGTCGGAACTGCCAGTGCAGTAGCAACAGCAGCAGCAGGGTCTCCTCTGAGCTCAAACTACTTGTAGTGCCTGAGGAAGAAAGGTCAAAATTGAAGCATCTTTGTTTTTAAAAAAGGAGATAGCACAATGCTTTCTTTCCCCTCTGCCAAAACAAAAACAAAAACAAAAAACAAACCAACAATAATAAAAAGAAAATGAGAAAATGTGGAAAACGATTCTACAAAAAAAAAAAAAATCAAATTAGGAAATTAAAAACCATCGCCTGGAAAAAGAGGTGGGCACACTTCACTGGAGGCCCTCGGCTGAGGTGCCTGCATCCCCATCATGGCTGCTGGTCTCAAAGTTGTGCTCCACACCCATGATGTCTGGCTCCATTTTGCCACTGTCATTGATGAAGGTTGTATAGGCATCGCCTTCGGCCATCAGTAGTTTCAGTTTAGGCATCCAGCTCTTACGGACAACACGTCGTGCATTTGTGCACATATCAGCAGCAATTGCATTCATCTCACTCTCCTTGAAGTTTGGGGCAAAGTTCTGGCAATAAACTGAAGGAAGAAAATGAAGGACACCTTAATCATGGTTGCTATAGCAGCAATTGGGAATGTTCCCATGGCTCTTTGCCTGTTTCCAGCCCCAAGACCAGGGGTGCTATTCAGCAGGTTCTGACAGGTTCTGGAGAACTGGTAGTGGAAATTTTGAGTAGTTCGGAGAACCGGCAAATACCAACTCTGGCCGGCCCCAGAGTGGTGTGGGAATGGAGATTTTGCAATATCCTTCCCCCAGGAGTGGGGAGGGAATGGGGATTTTGCAGTATCCTTCCCCCGCCACGCCCACCAAGCCATGCCCACCAAGCCATGCCCACAGAACCGGTAGTAAAAAAATGTGAATTCCACCACTGTCCAAGACCTACTCACGCTTGCAAAGAGTCAGGGCCAAGTTAAAGCTTCAGCAGGAACTGGGAGAAAGGACTAACTTCAAACTTTTAAATCTGGCACTACCTTTATCAGTATGGTATATAAGCATTATAGATTTTAATAACTCAAAGAGATTACATGCTAGCTAGATTTCCTAGGTACCCCCTTTCTTTCAAGTGGGAAGTATAGTTTGCTCCTATATTTTATTCACCCTCCCATACAAATATTTTGAAGAGACACTCACACTTCACAGCATGCAGCACTCGGCTGTCGAGAGGTTTCCGGCTGGGGTCATTGGTAGAGGAACGGATTCCAGTGCCACAGCTGTTGGCAAGGGTGTTCCTAGCAATGGTAAGAAGGCAGTTAAAATGTTATTACACACTGTGTCTTACTGTGCTCTTCCTCTAATAGCTAATTTTGTCCACTTGAATACTATCTGTCTTTATCTGAGTCTCAGTTCCTGCCTTGTTCCTTGAGCCTGGGACAACATCTCCAGAGCAGAAAGGAACACTGGGATGAGAAGGAGTAAACACACAGGAAGAGACATCCACACCCACATACTTATTTCTCCATAGCACAGAAGCTCATTTACTCACCGGTCAAAGAAGGATGCTAGTAGCCGCCTGAGAAGCACTTTGTGCCGTGTTCCAGCACTAACATGGCAATTCATCAACTGTGCCCGAGTGATGTACACATTAGTACCTGAACAGAAACAAAGCCTGTTGTGTACATTCAAACTGTATACAGGCCAATATAGCATCTTGTCAACTACAAAGCTTTATGTAGTGGGCAAAAGATAATACGGTTAAGGTGAGATTCATCCCATTTCTTGCCGATTCTGATATTGTAATGCCATCCAGTGGTTTGGCAAACAGACCACTTCACTTGATACTTTGATCCAACCAAGTCAGTTACACAAATGAGTTCTGTAATACGGTACATGATCTGTTTGGGAGTCATATCTGTGGCTAGGAATTTTAGTGGCTTACAGATATCCAGAGGACAAAATCAAACCCAAGCAAGAGCTTTGAAATTCTAAACATAGAATTGTTTGCAAAATGATTATTTTGCTGGGCTGAAAGGAACCTGTATTTTGGAAACCCATTCCTTAGATCAAATAGAGTAAACTTTTTGGAATGAGCACAGAGGCCGGAGCTGCTAATATGACTAACTAAACTGGGGCACTTCTTTACCTACTCAGTCCTGGCCACCAATCAATAGGTGGTGTCTCAGTGCCTTGTAAGACAATGGAAAGCCATAAAGACTGATTAACAGTATGTCACATTAAGAAACTATACATATTAAAGAGTAATGATGGGGATTCTTTATAGGTCATTTTTAACTGATGCCATTAAGCATATCTATAAGGACGAAATATTGACATTCCTCACAACTGATTGGACTCCGAGACCATATTCACAGATACAGTTACACCTATTTCAGTGTCAGCCCTAGATGCCATCTTTTCTTTTGGATCTTCAGGGCTGCCACATTTAGTGCTGTGGGAAAGTGGAAGGGGGGGGTTGTATGGAGTTGGTAGAGTTATTTAGCAATAACAACATTCTTTTCTCTGAGAGTCAAGGACGTTCAGCCTGCACCTGGAGTGGCGTGACTGGGCGGCATCTTCAGTTGGGACAGTGGATTGATTGGACCATGTGATGGACATGTGGGTGCAGGGGAAGGGACTTTGACTTTCTTTTGGGTGGGGAAAACCCGAGAGCTTTCAGATTTGGATTTTCCCAGATGTGCCAATATGACATCTCCAATAAAATGGATCTTTGAAGAATTGATTGCCTCGGAGTCTTACTTGGTTGGGGGTGTTACTTGGAACCCTGACTTTCAGTGGAAAAAAGACATGCATAATTTTATCTTGTTATTAATTTTCCTTAGTTCTCTTTTCCGTGGTTCAGTATTCTGACATGTACTGTCAGGATTCAGCTTGGAGTGCTGACATGTACAAGGTGCCATAACAGGTAATGCCAACAGAGGTAGTCTTCGACTTACAACAGTTCATTTAGTGACCGTTCAAAGTTAAAACGGCACTGAAAAAAGTGACTTATGACCGTTTTTCACAGTTATGACGTTTCCAGCATCCCCATGATCATGTGATCATGTGATGCTTGGCAACTGGTTCATATTTATGACCGTTGCTGTGTCCCAAGATCATGTGATCGTCTTTTGCAACCTTCTGACAAGCAAAGTCAATGGGAAAGCCGGATTAATTTAACAACCAGGTTATTAACTTATCAACCGTAGTGAGTCACTTAACAACTGAGACAAGAAAGGTTGTAAAATGGGGCAAAACTCACTTAACAACATAAAGTTTGGACTCAATTGTGGCCGCAAGTTAAGTACTACTTGTATTCTTTCCTTTCTTTAATTTTGGGAATTAAAGGCATCTTTAAATAATGTTAGCTCAAATTTTGACTCTATTGTAACATAATTATCAGGACTGCTTTTCGTTGAGACAAAAATTAATCCCCCAAAGTACAGAATGAATCTTATGTAAGAGGTAAGCAAGATTTTTCTTATTTACTGAAATCAGTTTCAACCCCAAGTAGTCCTACCTATCACAAGCTCCAGTTTCTCAGCTGGGTCACCCTCGTCATATAGCTTCGGATGGCATCGGTTTCCAATCTGGTTGATGAGTTCTGCAGGCAGTGAAGCTAGGTCCTGCCGCACTCGTATCCGGTTGCGAGACTCTGACTGCACCTGATCTGGCAGTGCTTCTACTTTTTCTGCTGAAAAAAGGGAAAAAAAGGAAGGATAGGAGGAAAATTGGAGAAAGTGGTGAGCAGATATGAAATGAAGGTACCAAGGCTATTCTTCTCTTTGAAATATTTGAACTCTGCAACTACATTTGCAACTTGCTCTTGAAGAGTATTCTTAAGCAAGTCATTGAAAGAGCTCAGAAATTACTGCATCCTTTTTTATATATATAAAAAAAAATGGAATCACAACAACTACCTCTTCTTCTTCCAAGGAAGGCAAAGAAGTGCAATGCTGACAGGTGGAGAAAATCCACTATCATTGGATTTGTTTATTCATCTCAAGCAGAGATTGCTATTCACCCTCCTTGTCCATATTTCTAGGGTATATTCTTAAAATATTTCACAAACTTTTCAGGAGAATACATGCTGAAAGACCCGGAAGCAATCAGGGAGGCTGAAAACTGCAGCTTTTCTAGTGATTAGACCCTCAATACATATTTTATTCTTTATTTTTTAAAAGTAAGTCATATGCTATTTTTTTCAGCAACGATATCATACAATTCAATAATTTAAAGCTATCTACAAAAACAAACTAATGAAAAATAAAGGACATATGGTGCAGCAGCTGTGAAGCAGAAACAACTTGACAAAGACTGAAAAAGAAAAAGAAAGAAAGTTGCCTCTTATAAAGATCACATGGAATGCTTAAAGCACCTCTGATAAGATGCAATCCCAAAATATTAAAGTTAAAATAGAGAAAGACTTACTAGTTGTACAGATAAAGCTGGCCCAATCTCAGTAAGGTCCCTTCAGTCAACCCCCGAGACTGGGCTGCTGGGCTATTGAGCCTTTTAGGTAAAAAAGAGAGAACGGCTTGGATTTGGGTAGAAAATGAACAAGCAAGTTGTGTATGGCCCAAATGTATATATTATAGAGGAATGCTAGCTCAGGCCTGTCAACAGGTGACAAGAATATTCTGCACTATACTATTTCTGGTATTTCTGAATTTTCTTTGAGGGCAGGGCTGCTGGTTGCGTTTATAAGTCACCAAGGCAGAAATGACAACTCTTGACTTTGCGAAGCTTAAACATGTTGCTATGATTTCACTTTCCAGTATATATTTTTATTACTTGTATTTCAGAAGATCTCCCAATCCCTGAGCAGAGAAGCCACGAAAATGTCCAGAAGACACAAGTTCCCATCATCACTATCGTAGCATTCTGGTTTGATATTCAACGTTGCAGTTGCCCCTGCCCCTGTCCCTTACTTGATGTGTTCAGGTGGAGGTTGACAGCCCTTTGTCATGGATACTGGCTTCCTGCATTAAGCAGGGAGTTCGCCTTGACAACTTACCTTGTCCCCTCCTATTTTAATTCTATGAGCAAGAGAACAAAAGTCACCCGTAGAAAAAAATTATCTAGCAAAATACAGGTCATGTAACTTGGTCTGCAAGTTGGCCTCAGAGTATGGACTCAAAGCCTTGGTTAGTCTGTTACTTTCAAATATACTACCACTGTATAAATATTATTCATAACAATTCCTCTAGGCTGACATTAGTATTAATATTTGGAGATTTATTTCTAATTATTCCTAGTTTAAAATCCTTCCCAGGATTGCTTCACACTTCTTTCACTTCTCTCTCACACACATACATAAAAACAAACCCACACAGAAACACATACAAAATGTATCAGAACACACCCACTTGTTTCATATTGGTCAACTGCAATATGCACAAACATCCCTCACGTTGGGAATCAAAAACAGCTGTTTTTGTGTCCTATTGTGCCCTATTCTTGGAGACTGCCTGGACAAGTCCTTGCAGTTTCCTTGGCAAACTTTTTCAGAAGTGGTTTGCCATTCCTTTCTTCCTAGGGCTAAGAGAAAGTGATGGCCCAAAAGCCACCCAGCTGGTTCTGTGACTAAGACAGGATTAGAACTCACATTCTCCCAATTTCTAGTCTGGCACCTTAAACACTACACCAAATTGGGTCTCCAGCTGGATAGCTACTGAACATTTCTGCTGTCCATATGAATCAGAGACGCATAGCCACACCTCACTTTTTAAACAACAGAAGTGAACATATGCAACATGTATCGGCTTTGGCAATAAATGTAAAGTTAAGCAGATAATATGCAAAGATTCTGTTGTCATCCAACCTTACTATCCATCCTACAAGATCTCCCTTGCATCTCATCTCTGTGAATATTCTGATCAAAACAGGGATAGAGCCCAATACACTCCCTTGCCTTAAAGCAAGCAGAACAGTCACAACGCTTTTTAACAGTCCACATGGGATACTCACCCGTCTGCCCTACATTCATCATGCTGTACATTGTGTACATGTTGCAGATCTGTCGGTACTGCTCATCGGAGCCTTCCTCGGGTGCATCTTCCTCTTCATCTTCTTCATTATGATAGGAACTGGGGCTGTCACTGGTGTAAGCACTGGAGGTGCCAGGGCTTGTCTGGTCTGAAGTACTGGGGCCGCTGACCACGCCTGCCCCTCCACCTCCCCCCGTTAGTGCTGCCTGCTGTTGCTGCTGCTGCTGAGCCTGTTGCTGTTGTTGCTGCTGGACCTGTTGTTGTTGTTGTTGCTGCACTTGCTGCTGAGCCTGCCGGCTCCCCCCGCTCAACTCCTGCTGGGAGGAGATCTTGGCCATTTTGCGGCTGCCATTACTGCCACCACTATTCCCTTCCTTCTGGCTGTTTTCCCAGAGCCGCTTAACCACAAATGTGCATTGGACAGAGTCTGAGTCCTGTTGCTCTGTCTTTACACGAGAGACCAGGGGTAAGGGCGTATTGCCGGAAGGCCAGGTGGATGTCTGTGCCACAGGGCTCTGTGGCTCAGAGGAAGGCGCCTCCTCAGTGTGCAGGCCTTGCGAGTCACAGCTGGGCGAGCTGACCTTCAGGAAGAACTCAGTCCCCTTTTCCATAATCTCCTGGATCTGCAGGAACCCTGCTGTGTACATGAGCAGAAACTGATCACCCACATTCATGCTTAGGCGGCCAGTGTAGCAGAAACTAAGGATCTGCTGAAAGGATTGAGGTTGCACCGCAGCAGGAAGCTCCACCACAGTGCTCTTGCTGTTGTTGAAAAGGTCCCGGAAGTAGCAGCTGCTTGCAGCCAGCACAGCTCGGTGTGCCTTGAAAGCATGGCCTTTCACCACCACTGAGACATCACAATACAGCCCCTGTAACCGCTGCTCATTCAGGCATTCCAAGATGCTATTACCAAAGTTGGGGATCTCCATCTGGAGAAATTGAGCCATCCTCCTCTTCTTCTCCTCCTCACCCAGATGGGTACGCTGGAAAAAAGAATAAGGAGCCAGAGAAGTTAAATGTGGAATGGACATGGAAAAAGGGCAAAGGAAGGAGACTGGGCCAAAGAGAGGAGATCAGCCAGAAGTCGGCAATGTTTTGATAGCCTTGGGCCACCCTTTTTAAAAAATAAAAATAAAAAAATAGCTGAGAGCTACAGTGGACAAGGCCTTGAAATGGTGAGGACATGCAAACAGAAGAAGTAGGGTTTGATAGAGCATTTTTAAAAGGTGCTTTTAAACGTTTAAATCAATCTGACAGCTTATACCTCTTTCTTTGGTTTTCTGTTCTTCTTTCTTTCCATCTCCACAATTTGATACTTAGCTGCCAAATTTTGATAGTGTGATCTCCAGGGCCTCTGTAGACCACAAAAAAAGGGGTTCATAGGCCATATGAACCCTAGGACCACACCTTCCATTAGGGAGGTAGCAGAAATGAAGTAGTCCACGCAATCAACCATTTTACATGCTCTCTCTAGAAATGGAAGCGTCACCTTAAAGTCTTAGTTCTTCCTCCAGTTTTCAATATTCAAAAGCACTAAGTCATTCATTTAAAGACTTTGTGTATCATATAAACCCAAACCTTTGACAAAATGTAATTAGGCTCTGCTTTAACTAAACTCGTACTGAAGGTTAGGCATCTGTTTACTTACCTTGTTCACATCCATAGGAGAGTTAATTTGACATTAGCCTGCATTCCTAGCCATCAGCAAAGAGATGGGAAGTCTAGAGCAACTGTAAAATGAAGCTGTTATATCTGTATCATAGCTCCTCCACCTGACCCTCTGAATAAGCATGGCTGGATGGTGATGAAATGGGGAGGAGAAAAGAAATGGGGGAAGACTACGACAGATTTTCCCTTCTTACTGTAAGAAGCAAACAAACCAGGAGGTGATAGGATGTCAGTCTGTACAAAATAAGACAAGATGCTCTCAAAAGATGGCTGCAAACTATACAGTTAAGGCAACTTATCCATTGGTCATCTGGGGCCAAAGCACTAAGTAAACCATTTAGCTTAATGAGCACCAGACTGAGTGAGGTACTTTGAACAAACATGGCCAAAATAATTTCACCTCCAATTATACACATAAACATACAATCTCCTTTATAAATTGTTTTAACAGTAGTTTTTTTTTCTTTTTACGACCCTGTAATCCCCTGCTTTGGGGTGGGGTCGAGGCGACTGAGTGGCGCTGAGCGTTTACTGGCTGGATGCCCTTCTTGATGCCTAAGTGGAATTCACAGATATTTTCTCTTTGTACCCTGATAAAGAAACATCTGTCGCTCCCTAGGATTGAACTCTCATACCTTCCGAGTAGGTAAGCATCTTCACCTCTATGCCACTAGTAGCTTTTATTTTGACCTGAGGGAATTATTTAACAAATATTATAAAGAAATTAATACATAAACAAATAATAAGAGAGCTACACTGGATTTGTCTGCAAGCATGACATTTAAAATGGCTGTAATATTTGCCATACTCTGGGCACATTTTAGACTTCTGTGGCAATTAAAGCAACCAGAAATTAATAGTATTTGTAGTCCATTCTTATTATGTGATTTCCCCCTTTTTTATAGTATTCTGGTCATTTAAACTGAGAGCAGCATATGAAACTTCACAGCTCAAGTTCCTTCTTTTGATATTAATGAACATTGCAGGAGTTATGGAAAAAGGAAATATTTAAGTGTAGCTTCTTATTAATCTTGGTTAAAAACAATCCAATGTGACAGCACTAGGATTATGCTGAAATAAATATAGTAGCTTTGGTACTGTAAAATAGTTACTCATAATAAACAGATTGTAATCCAGCAGCAATGGTGATCTGCAAACCCAGTGAAGCTTCCTACCTATTACCTCCAGAAAGGGGCAGGCTCTTATGAGCATACTGATCTTCCCCGATAATAGCTCAGAGAACTCTAAATCATGGCACTGTCTTTTTAGGACAAACAATATGCGTGTCAGAGATAAGATACACTATGAATGTAAATGAAAGCTTGGGCTAAAAACAGACAAAATGGTTTTTTTTTTTTTTATTCCCACACATCATTTGCAACTGGAGGGCAGATTAATGCTGAGTGGAATATTAAATATCAACAAAATTAATGGTGGTGGTTGTTGTCCATTATTCTTTTACTAGAGAGACACTATGACCCAAAAGTTTCCTGCTGCAAATCACACAGGAGAGAGAAATTACTTTGCAAGGAATGACAATGCAGCTGAGGACACAGAATAGGTACACAATGGGCTGTTGCTTTTAAAAATTCCCAATTCTGCAAAAGGCTTGGGTGTGAAACAGTGCTTTACAGTTATTTGGAGATGGTTGGAGCAGAACAATACAAGATAATCCTCCCTACAGAGAGTTTATTCAGAATGCTGGCACTGGAAGTGACTAAGATTTCTGCTCCATGTTCAGATAGCATCAGGTAAATGCATCCCTCCTTCCCCCAAAGCTTTAAAACCGCTAGCAATTTTTGGAGGAAGATATAAAGAGGGAGAAAATAAAAACCTTTTATGCAGCTTTTTATAAAGCAGTACTGAAACATCCTTAATATGAATTTGTAATGGAATAGACTTTCAGTTGTTTTCAATGGAACATTTATCAGAATGAGACAAACATTCATACATTTTGAATGCTGAGCATTCCATTTCTTAAAAATTCAATTTTAATTTACTGCAATAGAGGTTTCTGAGATGACAATTTGCTGAGGATTTCACCATCTCTTCTAGAAAATGCAGGATACCCACCAGAAGCATAAGCATATTCTACAAATAGAAGATCCTGACAGCCATTTGGTAAACTTCTGATCTTTATCCTTTTTTTTTTAACCTACGGTAATCAAGCAGAGATACAAATATCTAATAATAAACAAAGCTATGTATAAAGACGGAGGACTACATATGGGATGAAAGGCAAGACTTCCATTCCAAAAGTATCATTGTGCCGTTTCTATGATAGGAGAACAATCTCAGTGGGAAGGAGGGAAATTGAGGATGATTTGTAGCATTAATTCAATCTTTTCTTGGGCACCATAACTGGAAGGCTTAGAAGCTTTCCACTGTGAAAAGGCAATCATGAATCCTGATTATTATTACATTACAAATGATCCTTATTTATACCTATGTTGATCATGACAGCATTTGTTGAAGCACTAATATTACAGTGTATTGTTAACCCACATGATTTTTATATAGCATTTTTAAAATGATTTTATCTTGAATGTTTGATTTTCAATTATCAAGACAGCATGAACATGTTCTTCTTTTAATACTACCATTAAAGAGGATATCAACAAGAGAACACAGACACTATGGAATTCTTTCATTAAGAACTCTTTACAGCTTGAACATTGAATACGTCAATGAAAGCTGACAAACCAGACCGTTTATTCTTAACTAAACACAATGAAATGGGTGACCAACATTCACATCTTGGTTAGAGATCTGACACTGTGCCGTTTTTATACCACTTTCCATTGCACAAGTTCTAAGGAAAAATGTTTAAGGAGCCCAATGAAACAAAAAGTATAGGCACACAGCAGTTTTGTTACCTGAGTATTATATACTAGTTTATTTAATGGACTTATATGAAAACTTAGAAAAAGACAATATAGCCTTTAGAGCGCTGCCTGACCAAATTTTCTGGCTAAAGATGATTGTTCTTCTGAGTCAAATATAATTACAATGGAAAGAGCAGGGTGATAGAACCAAACCATTAAATAAAATAGAGATTCTGGGGGTTTTTTTGGGAGGGGGGGAAGAGGTCCTTTTCAACCTGAGCCATTGTTTTCTCATAATTGTAAAATGAAGTCAAGTAGTTAAGTGTTCCATCTTTCCTGCATCTGTTTTTATTAAGTTTAAACAGCATTTTCATTATGCCAGAAGACTAAGCATTTCAAGTGATGCTACAATTCAGCTACTACTTGTATTCTTGCGGGAAGAAGGATAAACTGGGTGGAGGACAATTAGTGCCAAGTCAAAATATGCACATGGAAGGTTGCAAAACAGATTATATGTTATAAATTATTTTCTTGATCCTGGTTCCCTAACCCTGATCTTGTAAATCCACTGCTCTCTCAGATTCCAACTGAATCAGTAAATATTTTGCTGTCTAAGAAGATACACAGATAAAGCCTTTGGCTTAAAAACAATGCCTCAATTTCTACCCTAGACTGCTTGAAGTCTGAAGACAAATAACTCTGTTTCTCCATGAATCATATGCCCAGCCATATAAATAATGACACCTGTGGGAATACATGGAGTAAACAGCCATGAATTATATAACATTAGAAGAGTTGGGATATTATTTAAAATTATGGGTATGCAAAACACCTCAGATGCAAAATGTCCCATTTTGAATTCCAACACTTTCAAATGAAAGAAGCTATTATTCTGAATTTAATACAATGGCTTTAGGCTCAAAATGGGATGCTTTGAATTCAGTTCACAATTCAAAAAATTTTGGGAGCCACTACTTTCCAAATGACATACAGGTAAGAAGAACAGGTTCTTCAAGTAAACTGTAGCAGGAGCTTTTGCTGCCATTATCAAAGATGCATTTTTAAAAAATCTGGAGTACTCTCTTTGGGGACCATCTCCAAATTGCAGAATTTTCTAAGGGAAGCAGTAGTTTCTTTTTCCATCCATTTCAGAAGAAACTATTTCACAAGATATCAAGAGGGACAAATTACTCTTTGCTAACTATGAGCTGAAAGATTGCCCAAAAGATGCTTTTTCAAAAGGAACTGGACTTTCTTTGTTTTTCCTTGAAAAAAGGAAATGGCATCAAATATCACTTCTCTAGAAGACAGAACCACAGTATTATTTCAAATGTAATCCTGTCACTATTCTGCAGAGGACATCCACTTGCCTTCACCTCAAAATATTACTAATTCTAACATTATTTAAAGTTTAGCAATAATGTAATTTAATTGAGTGTGGCTTAAACAGTTTGGCAAGCATAGACATATGATTTGTAGCCTATAATTTAGCATTACATATTTATGCAGCCACTGCATCTTATTCAACAAATCATGATTTAGACAAATTGTAACTTAGTGCACTGTGTAAAGCCAGTCAGTAACAGATAAAGGATTTGAATTTTTTTGCATTAGGGCTATGCAGCACTTGTATATAATCTTCAAAAAGTATCTGATACTACCAGAAACAAATATAGGACCTCATGCAGCACCTTAGGGCAGCTGCGTCTTTTCCCAGAATCAGTGAAATACTTTTGGTGATTAAATCCAAATCCCTGCACAGCTATATTGTTTTGGTATGTAGAATTTTAATCTAGAAAACACTGGGAATTTACTCAAAGTAGCAGAAATAATGACGTGTCAGTCAAATATCAGTCAATTT